CCCCTGGTCTCTGTGGTTGCTGGGAGTGTGTGGGTTGTTTAGGCTGTTTGGGGGTCTTCTTAAAGATATTTAATTTCCCACCAAACCCTCCCTTTTTCTTGGCCAGTGAAAAATGAACCAAAAGAAGGGACAGACACAACACAGCTACAGTCCGCTTCATCTTTGCACTAAAGAGAGAAAATATATATATAAATATATAAGAAAAAATACATTAATTTTATGTTACATTTAAAATAACTTCAAATTCACAAATTACTACTGAATTGTTAAACAATTACACACATTAAAATAAATATATTACCACAACTCATAGCATTGTTTAAGTACAAGGCAGCAGATTGTGTGTATGTGTGTGAGAGTTATTATAGTTTTGTATTTTTTCATTAGTTTTTATTTTTTGTTTCCAATTCAGTTTAGTTTCAGTTAGTTTCCATTGTGGGTTTGCTCGTTTCGGTTTACTTTCCATTATATTCAGTGTTAGTTTCAGGTTTTTTAACTATAATATGCGGTGGTATTTGGGTATTAGTCAGGGGCATGATTTAAGAAGTTCAGATATGTGTATTACAATACCAACACATTAATTTACAATCATTTAGTCTCAACAACCTCCTTCTTGTGTTGAGAATTTTACCATTTACCAGTTGGTAAATTGGTAAACCAAAAGCAGACATTTCCTGTATATATTTTCATTATTTTAGCTTTCTAAGTACACAATATCGTTTTAGTCTAACCTCGGTGTGTGTGTGTGTGTTACATTTCCCTTATATTAACAGTCTTGTTGTGTTTGCACCACACAGCCATGCCCATCTTGTATACCCCATGAGCTCAACATGAAGCTGCCTGTGGGCCAACATGCTGCCAGGTTTAAAATAGCACAGACCTTTCTGACTGCACTCGGCCAACAGACTCTTGTGTCTTAATATTGTTTTCAAGACCTTTTTCCAATGACTACCAAAGGAAATACAATAATTAGTATGTCAACTGATATTTCCATTAAGTTAGTACATTCCTACATTAACTCGTCCAGTTTTACATGCAAATGTTTTCCTGCTTTGTTCTCTGGAAACAGTCACACAACCTGCTGTGGAAAAATAATGTCAATGCAGCTTCTTAAAAACTGAGTATTCATAAACACATGGATACATACTGCTGACCTTGTAACGCCACTGTGCACCGCCGCTTCTTTCTCTAGATCATGTGGTTCCCTAACTCTTTGTATCTGCCCTCCTCGCGCTAAAAATATTCGTTACCCCCCGCCCACCTCTTCCAAACATAACCGTGTATTTATATATCGATTATTGGTTGACAGCCTGGATTAAACCAACGATTTAATGAAAGATGGCGTTTTACTCAATGAATGTAATTTTTTTATACATGTTTGTATATTTGTTTGTGTTAAAATGTCTTATATAGATTATATTTGTTTATATATTTCTTTATATGTGTTAAAATGCGTTATAGGTTATATTTGTTCATATATGTTTATGTGTTATATAAACAAATATAACATATATATATTGTCAGTTGTTTGAACCGAGTTGACCATTCGTTAATTTTAATTTGACCAGACTACCAATAGATTAAACTACCATTAAGTAGCATTAATTACCAATCTGGCACATAAATAAGTAGCTTTAGCCATTCCTCAAGTGAAGGTCTAGTTGTTGTACCTCGTGTTATTTAGTTGTAAGTCGAAGTTTTGTGAAAGAAAAGTCGTATTGTTTATTTAACTAAACTTCCTTAATTATAGTTTCCAACATAACAGATATACACATTATAGCACGGTGTACATCCAACAGTAAATGCCACAGTATAAGACGTTTGTGATGAAAGGTAAGGAATAGCAGAAGAGGAAGTAAAATGAATAATACTAATATATGTATATATACTCTTTAAATTACTCTGAGGTGTTCACAACATCAAAGAAAGACATCAGTCAGATCGATTCTGAGAAATAGTGTCTGTGTTACTCTGAATAATCCACAGAAATATAGGTTTGCTTTAATTTGTCCAGGTTATATTCATGTACAGTCTATCTGCAGGGCTGTTTGGTTTGGGTTAGAAAATGAGAGCTGGTTTAAATGAACATTTCCCAGGTTTCCCCACCTTCTGATGTTATCAACTTACACAGGAAAGACCTTTTACTAAATGTCACTGATATCCCTATAAACTTCTTTACATTGTTACCATGAATGTTTCCATCTGTAGACCCATTTTAAAAGATACTTCCTCCGCATTAACAGATGTAATAGTAACAGTGTTACAAGAAATAACAAATAATTAGCTAATTTAAAGTCTGAAGTTCTTCTGTGAACAAAGTAAATTATTCTGTTTAGGATCTTAATATTTTCACTTGGCCTTTGTATAATATACTGTACAGATGGTGCCACCTGCTGGCCATGAAAGACTATAACATAACATTTAAAAGTATTTCCAACCACCTGTTCAGTCAAACCAATGTAGCAAAGCAGCTCATTTCACAGGCATCGTCAACAAAGAGAGAGACACACAACTGTAAACGGTTTCATGATTTATTCATGTGAATGCTTCTTTTTTTTTTTTTTCCTCATCACCCCAACACTCATTTGCCATGGTAAAGTGGTGCATGTTAATGTAGGGATAAGACGTAACTGGACAGCAGTGCAATTTTGAACTGAAATAATCAGAAGACAGGGGACCCATCATGATGGCAACGATGTACCAAACCCTCTGTGATGGCAGTAGATAACAGCACACGGGTACACTGATGCTCATGAATGAAAAGGAAACATACTGTTCCACGAGGTGACACAAGGAAGGTTATTCAGGACAAGATGGAGTATCTATCTGCATCCCGTCCATTAACTAAGTCATTTACAACAACTTTCAGTCTGCTCAGCGTCAGAAACATGAAACCAGTCCAGACGTTCCCATCATTTAATTGCTGCACAACCCTTTAACCACGCAGTAGACAGTACCAAGTCTTCAAATGTATCACGTCAGAAAACCTTCCAGCAGATCAACTCAACAATATGACACATCTTTCTCAACTGGTGACGGGATGTTGTTAAAAAGCACAAACTGCTTCATAAATCAGATCACATCCACTCAGAATGTCAGGGAATAAAAATCCACCCAGAGACGACAAAAAGCAACTATTCTGATGGTTTTGAATTATTTTTCTTCTAATCCCCTTTGTGCACCATGAGTGCAGAGCTGATTGAAAAGGTGATTGCTTTTTCATCAGTATCAACACTGGTGATTATAAGGAAAGGATTCATTTGGATTTGGATTGATAACTTGGATCAAATGGAGGGGAGGGGAGGGAGGAGACATTCCACTAAAGAGAAAAAGGTGCAACCTGGCCCTTTTAAACACACTGAGGTGAATAATCAAACCAAAATACAAACAATGGTACAATATAGAAAATCTGTTCTCTGATGAAAAATGCAAACACAAACACAATCGCCCTTTAACCTTAGGCACATATGTAAAACTAATAATATAAATCTTCAGTAGCAATCTTTTTTGCTTAAAAATATGCTTTAATTTATGACATCCGCTGCTGGGAGGCGTCTATGAATGGATGTCAATGAGGACAAATGGATGTCTGAGGACTTTCATTCAGCTGCAATGAAATCAATTACTCCCACAATGCCAAATATGTAAAGGGGGTTGGGAGGGCTTGCCAATACATTACAATTCATACAGTAAACTTTCCAATAACAGCTTTTAAGGTCATATATTTATGAGGGCTAAGGAAGTAGGATAGTTAAGCGAATCACTTGTAATATTATACATTTACTTCTTTTAGTGCCACAATCCCAAAAATAACATTAATCTCTGTTGTGGCTTAAGGATTTAAGCTTCCCCCCATGTTAACAATATATCTGTCTGGGAAAAAAAAAGTATTTTCTCTTTTCAGTTTCAAGAAATTTTAGCATCATAGTGTTAAAACACAATACATACACTGAATATGCAAATAAAATCTGCAATTATTTTTACAGATTGTCCGTTGAGTGGCTTACCCCGTGGCTTAGACTGCAGCACTTTAGCACAGTCACCACTGAGTTTAAGGAGTGAGCTCTCTCTCTCAGTAATATACCAGTCTTTGTTTGCTAATTACAGCAGCAAGCAGCTACACTATGTCGCCCCTCAGAGGCAGGGCCAGTCCAAATCTGCTACTCCACCAGCTGACAACATGAGATTATGACCATCAGCACGGTCCAGTTTACAGAGCAAAGATGAAGGCGGGGACAGCAACTGAACCAAAACGTTCAGCAAACTATTTCTGACAGAAAAATGAGGAGTTCTGTCGCATCCTGAGCAAACAGGTATCCAAATAAAACTGCTATGAGAGAAAAACTTTAAAGTCTTTGAGAGACATTAGGCCTTTGCATAGCAAAATGTACAACGCTGCTGCTGTGCTGTAAGACAGACAAAATATACAGAATATTTACACATTTACAGGAGGAGGAGGCCGAGGCCGTCTAGACTGTAAGGAGACACTGTCAAACAGTTGACCGGGACTCGCCATGGGTCATGCATGGCTCATCCATCACACCATCAGTGTCCAGTGAAAGGCTGGTTTGTCCAGCTCCGACAGAGAGTTACAGAGAACGGAGTGCAAAAATGTAAAAAGCAGAGGGTCGAAGGTACAAAGAGGCAGCTGCTGAGATGACGCAGAAGAGACAGCGGACTTTTCCTCCCATGAGGACACAGGGCTGTGTGAGTCCATCTCCCCCCTTCAGTCCAGACTCTGCTCCTCTTTACACGCCGTTGGCACTCATCTTGCTCTTCTGGGACACCTCTGTTGCTGCTTTAGCCTGTGGAAGAGACACAACTTCAGTTCAACTTCAATATCCAGCATTTAACATACAATGTGTGTTAAACAGTCAGCTGGAGAAGTTCCTTCTTATGGATTCATTTCTTTTCTTTTTAATGTTCATACCATTTTGCCTTTATTTGATAGCCCTCACCCATAAGTGAGATGAATCATGAGACAGAGAGTGAGAGAGGGGATAGGATGATATAAAGGTCATCAGCAGACATGAACTGTGAACCGGGGTGGTCACGGTCACATGGTATGTGTCTCAGACTATTCTCCATGCTAGCAGTACTGATTAGTGCACTACAGAGACCAATTTATCAGTAAATGTTCCTTAGAGTTGTGGTCCCAGTAAAGACCGCACTGCCTAAATTACTACATGAAACATCAATATGTTGTCAATAAGCTTCCCTCAGACCAAAGAGTAAACATCCACATCCATCAGGACAGAATTCAAGTGTTGCTTGGCAGTGATACTTAAATTATGTTTCAGGATTAATACCTTTTGTATTTATTTGACTGACACAACAGACTTGTTCATGTGTGTATCGGACTTCTTAAGCCTGAGAAAAACACAATCCCCCCATATGATACATGTTAACATCATGAAAAATACCATGATACAGAGCGAACAACGACACAGCAAGTAATGTAACTAACGTTTGCAAACTGTTGCTAAGAGAGGACGAGTCGTTTTCCCAGAGCCAAGCACGCCGGCTCCAGACGGCAATACTCTCAACTCTCCTGCTACTACAACTAACATCACAACAACAGCGTATCTCGGCAAACTAGAAACTAAACTAAATGTCTGTGGGCAACTCATTTAACCTTAACTGACACAAATCCTGGCTGGAGTAATAAGTTACTGTTTTTTTTGTTTGTTAGAACATAAAGTTAGTGGACTGTGAGCAGATGTTTGCTAATAAAGAATTGGATTAGTATCGCTCACCCCACCTTTAATGAAACTGACATTTAAAACAACAACAGACAACCCCGGTCGTCTTAAAACAAAGACAGTAAAGCTAAAGAACAAAGAAGTGAGTGAAACATCTTGAGTCACTTTTATAATAACGTGTGCCAATTTGAAAGCTGCTGCAATCACATTAAAAACACAACAACTTTAAAATGTGTTTTGATGTCATGCAGTAGTTCTTTAAACGACTAATGACTGCAGGTTTAAAAAAAAAAATCCTTGGAGGCGAGCGTGTCAGCGAGGTCTATATTTATCAGCTATTTTTAAACCTCACACAGATTAACTTGAGATGTTCAGTTTCAACTTTGCCAGCAGCTTTCTGTATTCATGATGGTTCATCTGTCAAACTATTTCTTCTATGTATCTAAACTCAACACATTTCCAACCAGTCTCCATACGTTCTCTACTGTAATCAAGTACTTTCTATCAAGCAAGAATAGCTGGTTTTCCAGAATAGTGGCCGTGTCCCACTGTGACAGATTAGCGTGTCATGTGAGAAAGATCAAATCCAGGAAGAGCTAACTGGATTATGAAACCCTGTAGCATCAAATCCCATACTGGTTTCTGTGGTACAACGGGGGGGGGAGGGGCTCACCTGAAGGACTTCAGCAGGAGTCAAAGGTTTGTCCGACACCACAGGAGCCTTATCTCTCATCTCCTCCACCTAAAACACACAGATAGACAGAAATAAGACTTTAGAAGATGGAGGGTCTTATGCCTCTTGAGAGTTTTTGTATATATGTTCCTATCATTCATACATTTATTCTATTTATACAACTTTTCATGAGCTAAGAATAACAAATCAGGTTTTTCATGTTATGTGAGAATCTGATGGGTATGTGTTTAGTTTGAAGAAATAGTTTAACATTATTGGAAACCCGTGTTTGCTTCCTTGCAGAGATACATGAGAAAATCAATACTCATGTCTGCATGTCAGGGTAAATATTAGATTGGAAAGACTGGAAACAAGGGGAAGCAGCTAACTTTGGGCCTCTTAATCCATACAACAGCGTAAAAATGTGCATGGGTTAAACAAATGACATAATGTGTTAATTAGCGAGCGTTCAGAGATACTGGTAGGTGGACGTTGTTACCTTTGGACCCTGTAGCTTTTTATTTACTCTACAGAGTGGGATCAAACTTCTCATTTCACTCCCTGCAAGAAAGTAAAGAAGCACATTTCCCTAAACGTTGTCTTGCTTTAAGTCCATAAAGGAATATTAATCCCTCAGTCTGTCCAAAAATCTGTGACTAAAAGACACTATCAATCTTATTTAAATGCTTTCATGTTTTGTAACATGTAGTTTGTATCCCAGGACTCAAATACGATTCGTCCAGCCCCTCCAGTACGACAGAAATCTATTCTTAACTTCGGTGATGACCCAGTTTCCTCTCTGTCATCAATACATCCTTTCAATCAATCTTATCTTGTGCTGCTGCGTGTTTTGTGGCTGTGTTTTAGGAGTGCACTGACCGGTCTTTCTTTGATGATGAGAGCAGGGTCCGCCAACATGTCAGAAGTGACTGAGGTTATGTTTGCTCCTGAATTCTCCACTGTGGGAGGAGGAGGAGCAGATTTCTGCAAAAACAACAACAAAACATTAGACCACATCTCCCCAGACGACCTGCTCTGCTTTTAATTCTTGTTCTCTCCACTCAAAAATCTGTTTTGTTAATTGTTACTTCACTCGTTGACCTTCACTGTGCAGAATTTGAGCCTTTGAGTCTGTTCTGATATTTATCTGCTGAAGTTGCTCGCCTTAAATCTGAGTTTAAAACATGAACACACAACATGATTTTGTGACAGCGCAACTTGTTTGGCAGCCAATCGTGGTCCAATATGTAACAAACTAGTGGAAACCTGCATACACTGAGAATGGACTCATATTCTTTCATATTTATAGATTCTGAATGAAGGAATGAGTGAGAATGAATAGATGTAATTTTAAGAGTTTTACACAAAATATTTCTGTGGAAAAACATATCGGAGAAAGCAGAGAGTATTTTATGTCTTTACACGTGTCTGGAGGATAACTTTATTAAGGTTTAATAAGGGTTTAGGGTTACTAACAGAACTGCAATGATGAATTGATTAGTCAATCGAAACAAAATGAATCAGCAACAATTATGATGATTGATTAACTGCTCATATTTGCTTCTTTTCTTTATCATATATGACGTAAATAAAATATATCTTTGGTTTTGGACTGTTTGTGAGACATCAGAAGACACCACTTTTTGGCTCAGGGAGGTATGACTGGTGTTTCTGACTGCTCGTTAATATTTCATTGACTAAACCATTAACTGATTAATTGTTAGTTGCCGTCTATGTTAAAATAAAAAATGTCCAGACACAAAAACATCAAACAGTTATGAAACAGCTCGTGCTTCCTATAAGGAGGTCAAACAGCGACCGTACCAAACTTCAGTGACCTGCGTACCAGCTATTTAAACAGCTGGAATGTTAAGCTTTCTATAATCTGTACATTCGAGTGGTTACGAAATGTAAGATTTTAAGTAGGTTGTAAAGTTCAAACCTCTAGCTTGGGAACAGGTGGGATGACAGGGGGTTTTGGTTTGAGGTCAGTGAGATACATGGCTCTGGAGAGCAGCAGCAGTGACGGAGGAACGTTCTCCTTCAGGTGCAGGTCCAGCCACTAGATGAAGAGGAACATTTATTATTTGAGGAACACTGACGACACATAAGAAGATTGATTCTAATATTAAACAATCTGTTCGTTTTATTTAAACAGCAAACTCAGAGAATGATGATTCATCTTTCCTTTGACGTTGGCAAAGACAACATCATATATCTGATAAATGGAGAAGTAACTTGTTTCATTACAACATCTGCCGATCAACTATTTACAAGATTTGTATAAAACCCTTTTAACTCTTCAGACTCTGGATTTAGCTTCTATTGACGAATTAAAAGCTACAAACTATCATTCAGTTGCTCACCTGCTGCATCTGCAGACGTAGCTGGTCAGTGGTGAGACCCAGAGACCTCATCCCTCGACTACGACACGCCGCCTGCAGTTCTGAAACACTCATAGCAGCCACACCCTCTGCTGAAATCATCTGCGAACAAACGGAGAGGGAAGTCAAAAAACTGTTGCACAAGAACGAGAAAAGAGGACAGTGACGCACCAAGAGGGTTCTTCCTCGACCACTAAAGTACCAGGTCCCACTCGTCTCTCTCCCTCTCTCACCTCATCGTCTGACTTGATGGTTCTGAGTTGCATCATCAGCTGAAAACGCAGCAAGTTGTTTGTGCCGATGGGCTGGAGCTCCAACAGTTTACACAGAGCCACCAGCTGGGGGCGCTCCAGGTGCTCCAACGTCAGCTCGTCCTCAAACAACTTCGAAAACCGGACTATGTCCTTCGTTGTGGGTTGCTCACCAGTGCCCCGAACCTGGTGAGGACACAGAGAGAAACTAGGGTGAGCAAATATTGTCTAATTTCAGACCAGATGTACCAACAATTATACAACAACAATTATACGTCTTATATTCTTTATTTGGATACAGGGCTGCATAATCAAAGCCTAAAAACATCCATTTTATATACTATATATATCGTTTATAGTATTTAAAGTTTTTCCCCTCACTGTTGCTGTGTTTTTTGTAAATTATGGTAGATCGTCTACTTTTGGGACACACAAGTTATGGATCGTTTACCTTCTGAACATATGTGGAGAAACGCTGCGTCTCATCTTCTGTCTGAGCTTTTGCTTTATTCCTTCGAGCCATCTCAGCGATGGTCTCTTGGAGAAACTTGGCCAGTTCCAGCTTAGCTGCCAGACCCTTCATCTGCTTCTCCTCCTGCATGAAGAGGAGAGAGGGGACACAGGTTAGTTTGAATTATTTATATTTCAAATACAGATACAGTTTGATTGTTTACTGCATTAAAATACAGTAAATACAGTCATCACTTACTGGTTTCTCCACTTCTTATTTACATTACAAGTTCTCTAGAGTTCAACATTACAGAGTCAAAACTTTTAATTGTAAGAGGTTTTAAAAGAGGTAGTCACGGGTTCCATAGTCAAGTAAATTCACAAAACATTTGAGACCAACGTTTTCAGAGGCCGGGCACCTCTGTGCTGTCCAGGAGCACAAGCGCATATCTGTGAACCACTCGACCATGCTCCAGAACAACCAGAGAACATCAGAGCTGACAGGCCGACTGGACCAAGCACAGAAACCTGCTGCTTTTCTTTTACAGGAGATTGAAAGTTAACAAAAAGGAATGTCATATTATTGGTATATTATGATTCTTGTATAATTCCTTTGTGTGGTTTGGAGAGCGCGTGTATATTGTGCTTCAAGTAGTAAAAAAAAAAGTAAATTGCCCAGATTGGATAAAGTCAGCTGCCTGCATGTCCACAGGTTCTTAGTACAGCAGCCACAGCCATATCTGAAAAGTTACATAATCATAACAAACCCCGTCCTGAGGTCATTCCGGTGACAGGGTGTGTTTGTGTGTGTCTGTCTGTGTGTACATGAAAACATGCCTTTTTGGTTTCTGTCTCGAAGGTGGAGGGCAACATCTCTGGGAAAAGTTTGAGGAAGACCGGAAGAAGGAACTCCATGAAAGGAACGATGATGAACACTATGAAGGGCACCAGACGGAAGAGGTCAGCGCAGGTCCTCAACAGCTGCAAAACATAAAGAAAAGCAACACGAATGTAACAAAACGTGGACGGTAACATGGGCCAGTGTTCATGTCATGACACTGTGTGTGTGTGTGTGCGTGTAAGATCCATTACACATGCACTGAAGCTCCACCGGTCCTCTACTAAAATAGCCCAAATATAGTTTTACCATGGCATGTGCACAGCTTGGGTCACTGAGGGTGCACACGCATATCGCAATGCATGTATAGCAGTCCGTCAGCGAGACGTATAGAAACAGTATGTTCTCTTTCAATGACCTACCAGTGTCTCCTCTCCGTGAAGCAATAGAAAGCTTATCTGATATTTGCATAGATACGTTCGGGGAGGAGCTCGTAATATAAAGGAAGA